AAATTGTAAATCAAAATTTAAAAAATAAAAAAAAAAAAAAATTATCGAACAAAAAATTCTCTGAGAAGCTTAAAATCAGTATACTGTGATAGATAAATTAATTGATTAGAAATTGTTCATCTAGTTCTTTTTTTTTTTTTTTTTTTTTTTAAATCATAAGACCTTAAACTTAAGTAATTAATTAAGTAATTCAAACCTTAACCTTAAATAATAGTCTTTTTTTTTTTTCATTTTAACCTTAACCTTAAGTAATCGTTTAGATTTTGCATACATACATTTTTTTTTTTATTGATAAGGTTAAGTAACCATTCTTTTTTATTTTAACTTTAACTTCAAATAATTTCTTTATTGGATTAACCTTAACCTTAAGGTAATATATCAAAAAATAGGTAAGTATTTAATAATATACAATTAAAAAAAAAATGAAAAATTATATTTCTAAATTATACTCATTATTACTTATGTATGTTAACTTTTGTTATAACATTAGAGACAATACTGAAATTAGAATGTTTTTAATTTAAATTAAAAAATTTAGGCGAGAATAAAACAGCAAGTGAATTTACATTATTTAGCAACTCTTCATGGATTAATCATGTTAGCAGTTGGATATAGGGGGACAATGGGCTAAGCAGAATGTCAACCCCAAATAATTTATCTTGGCCATTGGCCACTTTGTCACTGACATAAGCCAAAGTCTAGAAGTACTCGAGAATTCAATGCCACCACTGATCGTCGGTCTTATTTCTTTTGCTTCATTGGACACAAATTTCATTTCAAAATTTTTAAGACTATTTTTTTTTTTTTTTCGCTTAATGTCATTGAAAAGTTATAAATATACTATTAGTTTGACAATATATTTTACTTATTAACTTAAGTAATACTTATTAACTTATCTTTAGGCTTTAACTAAATTAATTTTTAATTTATTATTACTACTTTTTTTTTTTTTTTTTTTTTTTATTTTAGGGATTACTATTAAAGCTAATTTATCCCAATTGATAATGTTCAATCAACAATTTGCATGGTGCAAAATCTAGCACTCAAAATTAAATTAAATTAAATTAAATCAAATTGAATTGAATTTCAGATTTTAACTTGTAAAATGAATCAATAAATAATTCATTGCTAACATTGTAAGCAATAGAATAACATAAAGAATAATAATTCGTTGTATAAATTTTTGCATTACTTTTTGTTTTTGTTTTTGTTTTTTTTTTTTTTAATTAGTAAGTAATATTTAATTGATTAGATAAATTAAATGAAAATTTTTTTTTTTGAAATTTTATTCTTTAATTTTTTTCTAAAATATTTCATCTAAAATTTTAATTCATTTTTTTTTTTCATTATTAAAACTTTTAAATATATTGAAAATATTTCATTTAATAAAACAAACAAAAAAAAAAAAAAATTATGTAAATAAAAAAAAAAAAATGACATTTGTATATTATAAAGTTAAACAAGAAATAATATTTATTAAATGTTTACTGTTTGCATAATAAATTATTAAATTAGTTGAAATTTTCTAATTTTTTTACCTGAATAAATATTTTTCAATTTTTTAATATTTTAAATTTTAAACGTATTAATTTAAGAAAATTTTAAATTTTAAACATATTAAATTATTAAATGATTTAAATTTCCTATTTTTTTTTTACCTAAATAAATAAATACTTTTCAATTTTTTAATATTTTAAATTTTAAACGTATTAAATCATTAAATTAGTTGAAATTTTCTTATTTTTTAACCAAAATAAATAAATATTTTGTCAATTTTTTAAAATTTTAAATCTTAAATATATTAAATTATTAAATGGTTTAAATTTTCTAATTTTTTTTTTTTTTTTTTTTTTACCTAAATGATTTGTTCATTTTTTTTTAGCATTTTGAAATTTTAAATTTTTTAACATTTCAATTTCTTAAATTATTTGAAATATTTAAAGAAGCAAATGATAGTTCTGTTTGCTTCTTTTTTAAGCTAATTTAATTAATTGTTTGTAAACAATTTTAACAGTGAGATTTACAAATATTTTGAGAGTATAATATGATAAATTGATAGTAGGATGGAATGTTATCATTAATTGCGGTAAATGAGAATAATAAATTTTACATTCTCATTTCACATCTGCGATCGAACAATTGCTATTACTACTATTTTATATACGAATAGATATTTTACAATGTTCATAACTATTTTCAAATTCTTTTCTTGTTAATTAAATATTCCCATTAATTAATTTCTTTCGATTAATTAATTACAAAAACAATTTTTTAACTCAATTTAAATTTGCAAAAAAAAAAAAAAAATGATAAATAATTTGATTAATTGTACATTGTTATTAAAATACTCTCTTCCTATTAATTAATTTCTAAAATTGCAATTTGTTTTAAATAAATTTAAAACTTTGAAATGATAATAAATAATTTAATCAATTGCATATTGTTATTTAAATACTCTCTTTCTATTGATTAATTTCTAAAATAGTAATTTGTTTTGATTAAATTTGAAACTGTAAAAAATGCTAATTTAATTTAACTAATTTTTAAAATAATAATTTGTTTTAAGTAAATTTAAAACTTTGAAAAGACTATAATTAATTTAATCGATTGTATATTGAAATTAATATGACTAGAAAAGAAAAAAAAATGCTCAAAATACAAAAAAATATTTATTTAATGCATAAAACATAAATAATAATTAAAATACTAATTGCTGATTAATTTAAAATTTTTAATAAATCTTATCTAAAAAAAAGAAAAAAAAAACAGTATTATATTGCTATTTGCAAACTTTTATTAAATTTAATAATTTATCAATTTTTTGACAAATAATTTATCAAAAGTTAGTTTTATAAGTTACTTTATAAGCTAGTAATTAATAAATTAATTACAACAAATTCTGATATTATCACTGTTAACAGTAATCAATGAGAATTATAAAATATTTTCTTCTTTTTTGACAAATAATTTATCAATTTAATAAGTTAATTTTACAAGTTACTTTATAAGTTAGTAAATAATAACTTAATTATAACAAATGCTGGTATTATCACTATTAGTAGTAATCTTAATTATAACAAATGCTGATATTATCACTATTAGTAGTAATTCTGATATTATCACTGTTAACAGTAATCAATGAGAATTATAAAATATTTTTTCCTTTTTTGATAAATAATTTATCAATTTAATAAGTTAATTTTACAAGTTACTTTATAAGTTAGTAAATAATAACTTAATTATAACAAATGCTGGTATTATCACTATTAGTAGTAATCTTAATTATAACAAATGCTGATATTATCACTATTAGTTGTAATTCTGATATTATCACTGTTAACAGTAATCAATGAGAATTATAAAATATTTTCTTCTTCTTCTTCTCTTTTTCACATTGATTATTTCAGCTTCACTGATTTGATCTGTCATTTCTATCAAACATTTGAACTTCACACATTCAAGGTTATACTTAATGTAAAAATTAGGGTATTTCTTGAAATTATAATTATTAGTAATTGTTAACAATGAATCATTGCAATAAAGCATTGAACCGTTGCAAAATTTTTACCTATAATTTTCCATAAGTTAAAAGGAAGTGATGCATAATGGATAAGAATGAATTTATTGATTGCTTTTTGAAATTTATTAAATCAATTATCTATCATTTCTCATATTTACCGAGAATTTATAAATGGAATTCATTTTTATATTCAATTTTGTTATTTCTATTTTAATATAAATTAAAATATTCTATTTCACAGTTTTATTAAAATATTCAATTTTATTATTTCTATTTCATATAAAAAATTTACTCATTGAAAATTTTATTTTGGTACAAGTTTTTTTGGAATGGAAAGATGAAATTATTTCAATTTAAAATATATGCTAAAATATAACACGTTGAGATTTTTTTTTTTTTTTCATTTTTTGTTTTTTAATTTTTAATCTTTTATTAATTTTTAAATTGATCATATTGTATTAAATCTTCTTTTCATGTATTATTTACTTGATTTTTATTAAATATGATTTAAGTTCAATAATTTTATAATTGATAAAAAATAATTTTATAATTATAATTGATATCTTTACAGATAAATTTTAATAAATTTAAAGTAATACTATTTCTTCTACAGCGGCCAAAAGCGCTTCATAAAATAATTCATAACGAACAAAAGCGCCTACTATAATACTTTCTTTGTTATGCATTTTTTTTCAATGCTTATTAATAATAATAAGAAAATAATTTATCTGCTAATTTCTTTTAATTCTATTATATTAATTTATTTATGTTTTTTTTTTTAATTTTAATTTTTGCAATAAATTATTTTCAACTTTAAAATTTTAACTATATTTTTAAAAAAGTTTGCTGTGAAAATATAATGAATTTATTTATTTATTTTTTGTTTTTTTGAAAAAAGTGAAACAAAAATAATGAAAAGTATTTTTTATTCAAAAGGAATCAATTTTTTAAAATTAATTAAAGGTCAAAGAAAAAAGGAAAAAAAAAATGGATGAAAATAATTTTTGAAATAGAAGCAAAATAGATGATAGACTTTAAGAATGTAATAAATTTTATATTAGTAAAGTATGCATTAATTTTATTCCATTCAATTTATCTGTTTGTTTCGGTGAATCAATCATTTAGCTAAGGTAAAAATATTATTTATTTATTTAAGTAGAATAAATATCAAATTGGAATTTAAAATGATGAACGATTAATAATTCTTTTTCTTCAATAATTCTATCAATAAATCAAACATTTTTCAAGTTTGTTAAAATTGAATTTTTATGATAAGCAAATTAAATTTCAATTTGAAATTCAAAAAATAATTCAAAAAAAAATTCAAAAAAAATAATTCAAAAAAAAAAAATTCAAAAAAAATAATTTCAATTTGAAACTCAAAAAATAAAAATAAGTGTAAATAATTTGTAATATTTAACATTGCATAGGACATAATGGTAGGAGTAAAGTAAATAATAAAAAAACCAAAAATGCTAACAACCTTAAAAGCTAATGATAATAATGTTATTTGAGTAAACAAATTCATGACATACACATACACACATACACACACACATACACACATACATACACACATACACACACACACACATACACACATACATACATACACATTCATATGTAATTATGTCACACCTTAATCAATCACACTTTTCAACCAATTACAGTAATTTCGTTTGCATTAAGAAGTAGTTTTAAGCTAGATAGCTCTAAATTAAATAGATACTATCTAAAGCTAGCATATACTTTGATAGTAGTAAGTGCAAGTAAGAGTTAATAAGTAAATATTAGTCTATCATATACTTAGGTATACTTATAACAAATAATACTAATAATCCTTAAATCATTATTGATGGATAATATTGCAAAATAGCAATAAAATTTAAAAAAGAAAAAATTTTTTAGAAAAAAAATATAAATTTATTTTATAATACTTTGCTTATCAATTTACTTTTATTTCTTTTTTTGTCGATTACTTATAATACATGCATAAGTTGACAAAAAATTTTAAATTTAGAAATGATTAAAGACTTAAAAATTGACCAATTTATATTATTGTTGGATATTGTTTACTTTTTATCTTATAGTAAACATTATGCTAATATGAACTAATTTTATAATTTTATTATATTCTCTTTTACTTTATTCATACAAAATAACTTTTTAGCAAAAAATAATTTTCTCATTAACTGTAGCAAAATTTAAATTATCATAGATGGTTACATTTTTTAAGAATAAAGATGGAGAAAAAAAAAAAAAAAAATAGAATGAAAAGTGTTTTCTTTTTTTTTTCTTTTTTTTTGGATGAATTTTTATTGCCTATTTACACCATAACTTTGTTGCTATTGATGAGAATTTTGCGAAGTAATAAGTACCCTACACCTGTTGCGTAGAACAACCACCTGATCGGATTTGTACCTTTCTACTACTTTCGGGGTAACAAATAATTACAGACTTGTTAACGACAAACCATTCATATCTATTCAAATGTTCTCCTTTTTTCTTATTTTTTCCTCTCTCTTTCTCTCTCTCTCTCTCTCTCTCTCTCCCTCTCTTTGTAAAATGATAAATAGATAGATAACATTTGATAATATTATCAAGATTTAGAAGAGTTAAAATTTTTTGCTTGTTAATTGTTTATTAAAATTTTCAAAATATTGTCAAGAAATTTTCCATTCTTTGATAATTTAATTATTTCAAATTTTAAAAAATGTGATTTTTTCTTTTTTCTTTTTTTTTTTTTTTTTTGAATTTTTTTGATAATTTATTAAATTTCAAAAATTATGTCTGAAAATTTTTGATTGCTCTTTTCATTTCTTTCTTCCACTTTTTTTTTTGATATTTAAATGCTAGCAATTATCTTTTGCAGCAATCAAAATTTTTAACTCTATTAAAAGTTAGAATTATCATAAAGGAATTTCTAGCACTTTTAAAAGAGGACAATAAAAGAAAGAAAAGAGAGGGAAAGGATGAGATGGGGCTAATTTATCCTTTAATTATTTTTGACACTATCGTATGATTTACCCTTTCTCTGTTATACCATATGGCATAATTTTATGCATATTACTATTCGCTTCTTAACTATTATTTAGTGTGAAATTTCAGTTGAAAATTGGTTTATGAGAAGGTCAGCAAAGTAAATTACTACTTTTTAGAGTTCGTAAAGAATAATAAAAGATATCATAGTGATAGACCAGTATAATCATTGTATCACAATTTCTTTCAAGATGAATTTCTCAAATGATGAATTTAAATAATTGCATTTTATAAGTTTTTCTTATATAGTTATATTTTACATTAATATGTATTTAATTTTTCTTATCATAGTTATTATTTTGACTTTACTATTACAATTGTTGTTCATATGTTGTTATTATCACAAATATTATTTTCTGTTAATAAAAGATATATCACTTTAATATCATAGTGATAGACCAGTATAATCATTGTATCACAATTTCTTTCAAGATGAATTTCTCAAATGATGAATTTAAATAATTGCATTTTATAAGTTTTTCTTATCATAGTTATTATTTTGACTTTACTATTACAATTGTTGTTCATATGTTGTTATTATCACAAATATTATTTTCTGTTAATAAAAGATATATCACTTTAATATCATAGTGATAGACCAGTATAATCATTGTATCATAATTTCTTTTCAGGCTTCTCAGATGATAATTTTAAATAATTATTATATATGTCAGTTTTAAATTGACTATGATCAAAAGTATTCTCAATTTGATCGTGTTAGAAATATTATTATTTATGTTTATTTATTTATCTTATTGTTAAGAGAGAAATATTTGTTCATTTGTTTCTATCTTTTAAGGTAGGCAATTCATATCTACCATATCTACCATAATCTACCCAAGAAGATATTTGGGGAACTCTGAATTAATAATATATGATGAAAAAAAAAACTCTATTCATAGTCATTATTTAAGTTTAACTTTTGTATTGCTCATTTTATGATTATTCTTATCACTAATGCTGCAGCTATTTGCTACTTTTAATTTTACTAACACAATTGTTGCTTATATCTTATCATTGTTATCATAATTATTATTAATATTTTGTTTATTTATTGTTATGTATAATCATTATCGTCATAACAGTTCATTTTTTTTTTTTTCAGTTTAAAATGTAAATATTTAAAGCGATGAAAGTTTTTCTTTTTTATTTTTTTTTAAAAATTAATCACAATGTTAATTATAATAAAATTATCCTCAATGAGTGCAATTAATGTGAAATGAACTGAAATTAGATTTAAATCAATCAGCAATAGACAAATAAATAAACATCCAATAGCAAATCACTGTATCATATTACCTTCAATCATCCTTTTTCAGTTAATGGATAATACTGAATGTCATCGTATCATTATTACAAAGTAATAAATCTTTCAGTACAAAGTAGAATATAAGATATGTCAGTTTTAAATTGACTATGATCAAAAGTATTCTCAATTTGGTCGAGTTAGAAATATTATTATTTATGTTACAAACATATATCTTATTATTAAGAGAGAAATATTTGTTCATTTATTTCTCTCTTTTAAGATAGGCAATTTATATCTACCATATCTACCATAATCTACCCAAGAAGATATTTGGGTAACTCTGAATTAGTAATATATGATGAGAAAAACTCTATTCATAGTCATTTATTTAACTTCAACTTTAGTATTGCTTATTTTAAGAAATTTTTTTTTTTTTTTTTTTTTGTATTGTTCAGGAAAATTTGTTTGTTTAGTTTATGAATTGAACATAATATACATTTGCAGAAATTATATATTCAAGGAAAAGATAGAAATGAAAATAATTTATTCATGTTAGCATATTTATGAACAGTTATAAGTGACCTTTTAATGAACTATAATTGGTCTTCTTCTGTTTTTATGATAATTAGATGAGTGTCATATTCAGACGGTGTCTCTTTTAATCATTCTCTTCTATCTTTTTTTTTTTTATTGTGAATGTATTATTTTCTTTTTTTTTTTTTTTTCTCGTCAATTTTTTATTTATGGTTCATTGCATTTGATGAGTGCTAATATCAGGAAAGATTATAATCGAACACAATATTATCATGAAATATTATTTTTTTTTTATGCAGCTTATTTGCTTTCCATCATCATATAATCATTCTTTTTTTTTCATAATAAGAAAGAAAATGAATGACATATGACCTTTGAACTGCTAGAAGTAATATTTGATAATCCTTTCTTTCTTTTTTTTTTTTTTGTATTATAACCGGATTAAGATTATTTCTTGTTATTTTGTTTGACAAAAATCTTTTCCATTTATTACCACTTGAAAATTATTAAAATGATATTAGATTATAATTATTATTTTTTTATTATTAAGAGGACTATTTGTCGAGAGAATATAATTCATATTCCTAACATTTGCTGCAATTTTTTTTTTTTTTTGAAAAAACAATAATTTGAAAATGTGTGCATCTTCGATTCTTACTGATTGTTTATGCAAATTTGCTAATTTTCAATATATTTTGCAGTTATTCATTCATATAAATTAGCATTTTTTTTTTTTTTTTTTTTGCTTTATTCCTTGTCTGAATGCTATTTTCAGTTTATTTTTCACAGAATTTCTTTTCATTACCGTAAATTAAACTAAAATTCAATGTATAGTTGTAGTTATCATTGATAATTATTTTAAAGACAGAAAAAAAAAAATTAAATTGGATATAAAATTAGCACAGTTTTGTATTTTAAACTAGTATAATTAAACTAGATTTTATTAAGAATTTAGTTAAATTAGATTTCATTAAGGATTTATTCTGTTTTATAATTCTATTTCGCATTACTTTATTGTATTCAGTTCAATTCCCAATCCTATATTTAAACTAAATTCAATGCTATAGTTTATTTCAAACTATTCAATTAAATTTTTTTTTTTTTTTTTTTAATTTCTGCTCTATTTTAATTTTTATTATAAATTTTTATTATTTTTATTATTTCATCTTCTATTCAATGCATACTTACTGCTTAACTAAAACAGATTATCCTTTTTAAGATTTGACTAATTCCTAATTAATTGCTCACCTGTTCTCCTGGAATTATTCTATCTCTTTCCTATTGTTTGTGTATTTTAGCTGATTTACCTGACGGAGCGCTATTTCACCGCATTCTATGCGCTTAAAGCATCATTTGTGATCGAATTGATTGATTGATTGATTGATATTTGAAGAGAATCCAAGTGTATCATTGTAAATTGATATTCTTATTGTTCAGAATAATAACAATAATAATAATTTATTATTACTTTTACTCTTTTAATAATATTAAATTTCAAAATTGTTTCATTTAATAAATTTTGACAATGGTACTTAAATTTTACTAAATTTATTCATTTATTTGTTTACTCAGTATTTATTATATGATCTAATTTCTCATAGATATAAATTTTCCACGAATATTAGCTTATTTACTATCTTACTAGCTTATTTACACAATTACAGTTATAGTAAAATGACATAGAATTTATTCATCTAAATCAATTATCAATTTTTCTATGATAAATAATCACTTAGTTTATATATCATTTTTAATTATTAAATTGAAATAATTAACAAATCATACTAATTAACCAATAA